CGCGGGTACACTGTATGTGCGTGTTCCACTGTAGCGCCCGGTACATTAATGGGAAACCCTAGTTTGTACATGTTCAATACATTTGTAACACTGTACACGAGCGTTTCTTTTTTCGGTTCACCAAAAAAAAATCTCACTCCAGTCTCCAAGCTGAACTCAAAGATTGGCAGGCCTGGTTGACAAATCCAAACAACTGAGTAAAACTTTCATGCCTAGGATTTGAGGTCCACCCACAAAATATGTTCACGTGGATAGGTTCCCAAATACATTTGAATTTTTTTTTAAATAGTAACCTCTGTCCGTGTGTGTGTGTGTGTGTGTGTGTGTGTGTGTGTGTGTGTGTGTGTGTGTGTTTCAAAGACCCCCATAGAGCTCAGTTTATAACTTGAACCCTGCCTGACACCAAATTAATGCTAATGCTCACGGTCTGCTAAATGTGTGTGAAAAGCAGCTATATGTACACAAATTCAATTTAGCAGCTTATATGTGAAAGGATTGTAGCTTGGGTCTGAAGGTCTGAATAAATAGATAGAGTTAGCGGCTAGCAGGCTAGCACAGTGTTGCATTTAGCCGATTATATTTGTCTGGAAATGGTGGTGATTAAAATAAAGCTAAAAGGGAAATTAATATAGGATAGAAATGTGTTTAAATAAGCAACTATCTGCTCATAAATTTGCTAAAGCAACTTAAAGGTGAAAGCTTTGTAGCTTGGGTCTGAAATATAAGTTAATGTAGGTTAAAATGAATGTGTTTTTTATAATGTTATTCTTCATGTGAGGTTCAACATGATATTAACACGGCAATAGATAGAGTTAGCGGCTAACAGGCTAACACAGTGTTGCATTTAGCCACTTATATTGCTCTCAGGAGATGGTGGTGATCAAAATAAAGCTAAAAGGGAAATTAATATAGGCTAGGTCCTTTCTATCCTATATTAAGGCTAGTAGCTTGGGTCCCAAATATAACTTAATGTATGTTTTCTTTAATGTATTTCTTCATGTGAACTTCAACATAACAACACTTTGTTTTCCACATCATTCATGCTTCCTGTTTTTCCATTACTACATTAGCCATAGGTTCTTCCACTCATTGAGCTCCATTCAACCGTGGGCTCCTTTTCAAACAGGGTCAAGTCATTACAGCATATGACTTGAATGACTAAGCACCCACAACAATCCCATGTAGTCATTTAGAGGTCAGCAGCAGCAGACTAACCCCGTGAATCCAATCTGAGCTGAGTCTCTGAGTCAGGGTCCAGAGGGGGGGTTTCCTTCTAGTGGGTCAGAGGGTCAAAGAGTGGCGAGCCATTTTTGTGTCGATGGCCTCATGTATCAGCGAGTAAGTGGCACTGTAAGGGGTAAACAGTGATGAGAGAGTGGCAAATAAAGACCTGACTGTTGATCAGAGGTGGGAGAAGTACTCAGATCTTGTACTTGAGTAAAAGGAGAAGTAATCAGATCTTGTACTTGAGTAAAAGTCGAAGTACCAGAGTGTAGGAATACTCTCCCTGCTGAAAAAACCCAGCATAGACCAGTTTAAGATGGTTGCTGGTTTTAGCTGGTAGTTAAGCTGGTCTATGCTGGTGAAGCTGGTATTTATGCTGGTCTACCAGCAGTCTTGCTTGCGAAACTGAAACAGAAACAGACAGAGAGGAAGGGATACAGGGGAACGGCGAGACGGCAGTGGTTGAAATAAAGCGGTATAAAACATGGTTTTGACTGGCGCTAACGGTCGGGGAGTGAAGATCAGTTGAGCGTTTCTGTGACTCCGCCCTTATCTTGTTTCCTTATCTTTCTTTCAGGTGTAACTTCTACCAATGGTTGTACATGACCTAGACCTCCTCCACCTCTTTGCTGTCCTACTAGTCAACCCTTCAGATCAGAGCCTTTCCTAAATAGTGGTAAGTTGTTTTACAGTTCAGTGTACGTTAATTTAGCAACTTAATGCTTTACTGTACTTTTTTAGCATATTGTTGTGTTGTTTTTTTATTATATTATAACTTAGTACTTTTTTAACGCATGTAGATATGCAACACTAAGCTGTCTGTGGCTCTTTCCTGCTGTAACGCTGCACATTTCCCCTCTG